ATCCTCCCGAGGGGGCAGAGCCGGGAAGAGCCCCCCCCCCCCGCCCCCAGCCCTCCCCATGGCCCCGCTGCCGGCCCCATTCCCGGCTCTAGCAATGGGGGGGGCCTCAGCGCTGCTCCAAACAACAGGAACTGCTGGGAGATGCTGGCAGGAAAAGAGAGGAGTCATCAAAACCCGCTGGTGGGCCCCATCTGCTCCTCACTGGGGGGGGCTGGTGGTGGGGAAGAGCCCTCCCAAGGTCACCATAGGGGCAAGAGACTCCCCTAAAGAGCCATTGCTCTGGGGCCACCCCATGGGTGCCCCTGAGCACCCATAGGTGGGATGGGGAGCATCACCCACCGGTGATGGGGTGACATGTCCCAAAGGGAACAGCATGGGGTGGGCAGCAGGGCTGGGGACCAGGACCAGGGGCCCGGGGACCAGGGGCACAGCCCTGCCCCATCCTTGCTGGGGACATGGTGCTGGGCCCCCCCCCCCGGAGTCACTATCTCTGCTCCAGCGCTTCCTCCAGCACAACCCGATGGGTGACGAGTTTCCTCTGGAGGCTCCGGACCCACAGGGATGGGGCTGGGTGAGGGGGACCAGGATGAGGTCAGGATCAGGATCAGGGTCGGGATCAGCAATGGGATCAGCAATGGGATCACCACGAGGTGTCACAGCACGTCCATCGCGCTGGCCCCTCATCCCCCGTCCGCCCGTCCCCATCCCTTTGCCTTGTCCGCTGTTACCCTGCGGCATTCCCAAGCCCCCGGGGCTGCGCTGGGACCGTCCCCTCCGGCAGCTCCCCCCAACCCCAGCCCCGGGGACGGTGGCACTCACCTGGCCGGGGGCCACGGTGCCGTGGGGCTGGCGCTGGCGCTGGCGGCGTCGGAAGCGGAGGCAGGGCCGGGGCCGCTGTCAGGAAGTTTGGGAGCTCGGGAGCGGAGAGGACTGCGGAAAAGGGAAAAAAAATGAAAGCCCCGCGCGCTTCGGGGTGGGTTTTGCCTGAAAATCCCTTTTCTGGCCACGAATCAGCGAGTTTGGGAGCAGCAGCAGCAGCTCCCGGCGCTGGGGCGGGGACGGGGCCGTGGGGATGCTCCAACCCAGGTCAGGTCCCGTTCCCCCGTGTCCCCATCAGTGTCCCCCCGTCAGTGTCCCCTGAGGGCTCTGGAGGGAGCTGTGACCGCGGGTCCAGCCCTGCCCGCCCCATGGCTGCGGACCGCGGGGTGGAAACGCGGCACCAGTGAGGATCCATCCCCGCTTCTCCCGCCCCGGTGCTGGCACCCACGGACGTGAGGACGGGACCCCCGGGCAGGGCTTTGCTGTGGCTTAACAGCAGCATCTGGTGGCAACGTGGGGAAGAAGCTGGTGTGCAGTATCCCAGTCCATTATCCTGGCATCCCAGCACATCATCCCTGCCTCCCGGGCACACGGCACCCCAGAATCCCAGCATCCTGGACGCACATCATCCCTGAATCCCAGCTACACATTGCTCATGCATTCTGACATCCCAGGCACGCATCATTCCTGCATCCCGACATCCCGGGCACACATGGCCCCTGCATCCCAGGCAGATATCATCCCTGCACCCTGAGATCCAAGATACACATCCACATCACCCCTGCATCCCAACATCGCAGGCACGGATTGTCCTTGTCTCTGAGTATCCCAGGCACACATCATCTCCACATCCCAGAATCCTAGGCACACATCACCCCTGCATCCCAGCATTGCAGACATGCATCACCCTTGCATCCCATCACACATCATCCCTGCATCCCAGCATTGCAGACATGTATCACCTTTGCATCCCATCACACATCATCCCTGCATCCCAGCATTGCAGACATGTATCACCCTTGCATCCCATCACACATCACCCCTGCATCCCAGCATTGCAGACATGTATCACCCTTGCATCCCCTCATACATCACCCCTGCATCCCAGCATTGCAGACATGTATCACCCTTGCACCCCATCACACATCATCCCTGCATCCCAGCATTGCAGACATGCATCACCCTTGCATCCCCTCATACATCACCCCTGCATCCCAGCATTGCAGACATGTATCACCCTTGCATCCCATCACACATCATCCCTGCATCCCAGCATTGCAGACATGTATCACCCTTGAATCCCATCACACATAATCCCTGCATCCCAGCACTGCAGACATGTATCACCCTTGCATCCCCTCATACATCACCCCTGCATCCCAGCATTGCAGACATGTATCACCCTTGCATCCCATCACACATCATCCCTGCATCCCAGCATTGCAGACATGTATCACCCTTGAATCCCATCACACATAATCCCTGCATCCCAGCACTGCAGACATGTATCACCCTTGCATCCCCTCATACATCACCCCTGCATCCCAGCATTGCAGACATGTATCACCCTTGCATCCCATCACACATCATCCCTGCATCCCAGCATTGCAGACATGTATCACCCTTGAATCCCATCACACATAATCCCTGCATCCCAGCACTGCAGACATGTATCACCCTTGCATCCCCTCACACATCATTCCTGCATCCCAGCATTGCAGACATGTTTCAACCTTGACATCTTTCACCCCTGCATCCTAGATACATCCCATCCTTACATCCTGGGATGGTCCCTTCCAACCCAAACCATTCTGATCCGACTCTTTCAGTGCCATCTCTTCCCATAGGATTTGAGCACCAGCCCCTGGAAAATCCCCTCCGGGGCTTTGCAGCTTTTGGGAAGGGTTTTTAGCAGGACTTTTTAATTCATCCCTAATCCTGGAAGCAGTGCGCATGGATGCAGCACATGGAATGCGCCCCCCTGGGCCAGGCGGGCTCCGGCCGGGGGGACCACGAGGTGGCGGTGGCCCCGCGCCGCTGGTCCCGAGCTCTTGGCCGCTATCCCAGGAGCTTTGTGTGCTCGGAGCGAGGTGGAAGCCTCCTTTCCGGACGGTTTGCAGGCGGTGGGGAGGCTCCGGAGCAGGTTATCCAAGGAACTGCGGCTGCCCCATCCCTGGCAGTGCTCAAGGCCAGGCTGGATACAGGCGCTTGGAGCATCCTGCTCCAGTGGAAGGTGTCCTTAGATGAGCTTTAAGGTCCCCTCCCACCCGAACCAGTCCAGGATTCCATGTTTATTTCCCAGTCAGCCCAAGCAGACGCTGTTTACAAAAGCAGGAAAACTTTATTTAGAATGGGCAGCAGGAACAGCCTGTCCAGTAGAACCCCCCCTATTCCTGAAAGCGCTCCCATGGGAAGCACAGCTCATCCCACCTACCTCTCGGGAGCACCGGGAAGCCCACGGCAGCTGGTGCCATGGGGGAATGGAGGGGTTTAGGTTTCCTTCATCCATCTTCTCATCTCCTGCCCTGAACACACGGAACAATGTCCCCTCCGGAGACTTCCGCAGGAACGCTGCTAATGTCATCTGCGCAGGCACAGGGCATTGTTAACGGAAGAGTCTGATTTCCCAGCTGGAATATTTCATGTCCAAGTTTTACTTCCGTCTATGAAAGCTGGGAAATGACGTGATGCATCCGAGAGCCGGGCACGGGGCTGAGCTCACTCACATCTTCATCCTCAGCATGGGCATGGTGCGATTCCCATCAGGCTTCATTGCACTGGGATGCTCCAAGCATAGAACCATGGAATGGGTTAAAGCTCCTCCAGTTCCAACCTTTCAGGGGCATTTTCCACTCGAGCAGGTTCCTCATGAGAAGCAAGGTCCAGCTTTGTAGCCCATTCTGGAAAAGCCTCTTTGGGCTGTGGCTCCCACGTTGGGTTTTCCCATGGGAAAGGCATCGTTCCCATGCTGCTCCTTCACTGCAGGACCTTTCCAGGTTGGATTTCAGCGTGTAAACTTGAACGGGGAGAAGCCACAAAAGGCCAGAGATTGAGCAAAGTGGGAATTCGAGGGGTGGGAAAGGGATCCGAGGTGGGAAAGGTGCTGGTTTGGCCGCACCGTTTCTGCTCTGTGTTGAGGGATGGGCAAAGCAAATAAGAACAAACCTGAAAGAGAAACCAAATGAACAAAACCGGGGGGGTTTCCTTCTGCAGCCAGAAACAGAACTGCAAATCCAGCCCTGCACTTCCCAATGGGACCCAAGGACCATCCCTCACACCAGGAAGATGCAGGATGCTGCTGGGGAGGCTCAAGCTGGACACCGATGTGCTCACAAACAGCAGAGCTGGGGAGGAAGGTTTGTTTGAGCCCTTCCAGTGCGTTTCCCCCACTCCTGTAGCACCATCTCCACGCTGCAGGATCTGTGCTTCCTGGTTATTCCATGTTTTTCCAAGCTTTCCATCATCCCATCCAACAAGGAGCTGCTCTCAATCCCCAGGTGGCCAATCCAAGGTTCCAAGCCCATCCAATAAAAGCCACCAGCACCCTCATCCTCCTTCCTTGTCCCTCCCCTCCCCATCACTTTGAGCCACAATCTCCTAACTCTTTCATGGCTCTGCATCTCCCCAAGCACCTCCCAGCTGAGCTGGCAGCTCTGATCCCAGTGGGGTTCATCCCAAGGAGGTCGGATTTCTTGCTTGTATTGAGAGTTTGAGGGGAGGGTTCCCTTCCTGCCTGCCCAGAGGCATTCCCCTGTTGGAATCCTTGGCTTAAAATCCATAGGAATCCTTGGCTTAAAATCTGTAGGAATCCTTGGCTTAAACCAACAGGAATCCTTGCCTTAAAATCTGTAGGAATCCTTGCCTTAAACCCCATAGGAATCTTTGGCTTAAATCAATAGGAATCCTTGCCTTAAAATCCATAGGCATCCTTGGCTTAAATCAATAGGAATCCTTGGCCGTCGGGATGCTGGGATGAGGCTGCAGGAGCACCAGCAATAAAGTCCCACCTCCTGCTCCTTCGATTCCCCTTTTCCGTCACACCAGTTAACACCAGTTCCCACCAGCATCACATCAATTCCCTGGGGACCTTCTGCACTGGTATCAGCTTTCCTCCCCAGAGCAGCAGAGATGGATCCTGTTTTCCTCCCCATTCCTCTCCCAGGGAAAGCTTTCCTCCGTTGGTTTAGAGGAGGAGGGAAACAAGCAGCTGGTACCAACCCGGATCAGAGCACCAGGAGCTTGAGCTGACCCTGCCCCAGTGCGGCTCCTAAACCATCCCAACCTGGGGTGTTTCCGGCTGTGACCTCTTCATGCTGCTGCTTAAAGGGGAAACTGAGGCTTGGGAAGGCGAAATGAAGCCAAGCACAAGAAGTCCCCCAAGACTTAAAGGGAAGTCAGGATCCGAATCTGGCTCCCAGGCGTCATTTCTGCCTTCGCCTCTCTCTGCACGGAGGAGTTGCTATTAATAACATCCACTCTGTTGTAACATAATCAAAGCCATCCTCCCTCCATGTGCGAGCTCGTCCAGCGGCTCCGACCCTCCCTGGGGGATAAACTTCCCAAGATTTGCAACTCAGCCCTTGGAAAGCTCTTTGCGAAGGGAAAACCGCCCTGGCCGGAGCATCTGGTCCATACCTCCTGGTCCATACGGGACCACCGCAGCCCAGCCGGGCATCGCTCCGCTGGGCGAACTGCAGCAAAGCCTGGATCCGAGCGCGGGGCTGCTCGGTCCAGCCCTCGGAAGAGTCATTTCCTGCCTCCGCTGGGACGCCTGGAGACATTCCCGAGCCGCGGCGCCGAGCACCGGCGGGCGACACCGGAACGTAGGATGACCAAGTTCTTGATGGCCGCGCTCCTGGTTCTTCATCTCTCCCTGGGTAAATGCCTTCCGCTGCTTTCTGGGCTCACAGGGTGATGCTTTCCCACTGCAAAGTGCTGGGATCGAGGTATCCCTGGGATGCTGCCTGGGATTCGGGGTGCGGTCCTGCAGGAGGAAAGGTCTTGGGGTGTTTGGTTGGGTGCTGCTATGGTGGAAGGTGTCCCTGCCAATGGCAGGGGTTGGAACTGGAGGAGCTTTAAGGTCCCTTCCAGCCCAACCCATTTCATGATTCTAGGGGTTGTCAGGAGCAATAGGAAAACCCATGGAGAAGCACACTGGAATTACTGGAAGTTATATAAAGGATGTGCTTGGGAGAACATGGTTTGTGCTTGCAGAATGAGTCTGATCATTAATGTTTTTCATACTGCATCCCTAATAACTCAATATACAGCTGGAAGCTATGAAGAGACAGACACAGGCAATTGGGGGGGGGGGGGGAGTGGGGGGGTGGGAAAACCAAACCCAAGAGGATTTCCTGAAGCATTAGGTGGGCACTTGGGAGGAAAAGCATGGAACTGGGAGGGATGAGGCAGGAACCTGAAGTGAATGAGGGATGGACACACGTGAAGTCCAGCTGCTGGGAATGGGAGGCACTGGGAAGCACCGGCTGAGGGGAGCTGAACTGGAAGCTGCCAAGAGCTTTCTTCCTCCTTCTCCTCCTCCTCCTCCTCCTCCACGAGGAGGAACTGAGCCAAATGTGAAACATCCCAGGGTTAAAAGCGGCCACGGAGGGGGAGCTCCAGATGGAAGCTCTTTGCCTCCATCCTCCTCCTCTGTTGTTCCTAGCGCGGCTCCAGTGTAAATACAAGAGCCAGCTTGGAATAACGTTCTCAGAGAGCCTTGGGCATGGGATAATGTGCCCCGAGGGCCGGAGCTGCCGGCGCCGGAGCCAAAGGGATGGAGGAATTGCGATGGGCGAGCGTGGGAAGGCGCAGGGCAGCTCCGGTCCGAGATTCCCTGGAAGCTTGGGAATTGTGGCTGTGTGTGACAGGAGGCCCCCAGTGCAGGAGGGATGTGGAGCTGCTGGAGCGAGGCCAGAGGAGGCCATGGAGATGCTATAGGGGCTGGAGCAGCTCTATGGAGCCAGGCTGGGAGAGCTGGGCTGGTCCAGCCTGGCCATTGCCCCTTCTCCCCACCCCATGTGTGTTCTCAAGGCATGGTTGTGCTCAGCTCTGCACCAGCAGGTTCAGGATGGTTCTGTGCTCCGCAGGGAGCTCTGCATCCTTGCCATGATCCAACGTTAATATCCCCAGAGCCAACCGTGCAATCCAAGCATCCCTCCCTGGGAATGGCCGCCTTGCTGCTCCTCTGCTGGCCAAGTGCACTCTTTGTCCCATGTTATTCCTCAAGGACAGACCCACAAACCCCATGTGGGATGCACAAAGTAACCTCCGTGCTCCCTTTGGCTCTGGAGCTCCATTAGGATTCCCTCCATCACGCTGTAGGTGTGAAGGCTCTGATGGAATGATGGGCTGTTGGGAATCCATTATCCATGTGAAGCTGCTCTGCTCACACTGTGGATGATGAACCCTTCATTCTCTGCTTGGTTTTAGGGAATGCTGAGCTGGAAGGAGAAGAGGATATCTCAGAGTTCTTATATGACTACGCATCTCGATTCAGTGAGAAATCCTTGTCTTTGGGGTGGCTTTGGGTGGGTTTTGGTCATTTTATGCAAGCTGCATGAGCAAATTGGGATAAGAATAGGAATGATGCTGGGAAGTCTCCATCCAGCCTCCCGCAGGCTTTGCCCATCAAAACCTATGCAGTGGCAGGGAAAAGGCACCGAATCAAGCCCTCTGCAATCCCAAAGAGGCACTGAGGCCATCCCACCCCTCCCATGCTGCCTCCAGCGCCCTCAGGCTTGACTTCAAGCCCAAAGCTCAATGCTGAGGGGAGCTGAGGAGCTGCCTGGTGCCCTCGCAGCTCTGCAGCAGTGAGAACGGGTCTGAGGGTGGGGAGATGCTGCGGAGATGAAGCCATGATCTGAAGGTGGGACCCAGCTCACCTGAGCGTGGATGATGTGAGCGAAGCCCAGGGACCAGGACCCCCTGTAGTGGCAATGGAGAGCAAATGGTACCCAACATCTCTGGCTTTCAAAGCAGCATCCACTGGCGACACTGATGTGTCTGAGATGGGAGCTGGGCTGGGGCAGCCTGGAGAAGAGAAGGCTCCTGAAGAGGAGACCTTAGAGCAGCTCCAGTGCCTAAAGGGGCTGCAGGGAACCTGGAGAGGGGCTTGGGATAAGGGCAAGGGGAATGGCCCAAACCAGGCTGGGATTCCATGGTTATTTTATGGCTTGGGTGGGCAGGACCCCTGCCTGGCTCTATGGAATGCTGGCACAGCCTCAGCAGCACATTCCTGTCATTCCAGGTGATTACTTGTATGCGACTGTCGAGTACTATTCCGAGAACAGCACGATATTGCCCACCACGTACTCCTATGGGGTGAGTTGGACTCTCTCGTCCCCCTTCCTTGCTGAAAGCGCTGTCACAAGGAGAAAGAAACGGGTGAACCCCATGGATGTGAAATCTCTGCACACCTCAGATGAGCCTGGGTTGAGGGTGCCCATGCCAGAGCTGGGATCCATTTGCCATGGGCTTAGTTTGCCATCTGGCACAGGAGTTTTCCTGACTGAATAAGACCAACCCCATCCTAATGGATGCATCCTTGGGGATACAGGTTACTCCTACATTGTGGCATTAGAGGTTATTCCTTATCCTCTACATCCAACCAAGCACAGGCAGGGCTTTGGGAAGGGGATAAAGGATGTCACCTTTGGGCCAGAGAATGATGCTCCAGGGCAGGGATGGGATAGTTGGGAAGGCAGAGGTGCCCACTGGGACACAGACTGGCAGCAGCTGGCTGGCAGCACAAGAATCCAAGTGATGTTTGACCTGTTCCCCTTGGCTTGCCAGGAATACCAGGGGTACCTGGAGTACCAGGAGTACCAGGAGTCCCACGAGTCCCAGGAGTCCCAGGAGTCAGTGGGATCAGCCCTGCGGTGCCACGTCCCCATCCTCATCCTCATCCTCCTGGGCTTCCTGCTATGACCCCAGCAGCGTGCTCAGAAGGTACTAAAGCCTTGTAGGACTCAAGCACTCACTTGAAGGCCGGGTTGGAGCATCCTGCTCTAGGGGAAGGTGTCCCTGGTTGGAACTGGAGGAGCTTTCAGGTCCCTCCCAACCCAAACAGTTCCAGGATCCTGTGTTTTGGGGGCAACAAAATTCCCTTCTTCCCAAAGCAGCACCAAGGAGCAGCTTTTCAAACACATAAAACAAACCCTTTCCAGCCGCCCCCTGCAATGCCAGGGACAAGCAGAGCAGCCCCAAGTGCTGCTTAGAGGCATTTTAGGGTATTTTCCACTCAAAAACCTCTTTGCATTGAGCCTTCAGCGTGTGAATGGGGTGAACTCTTAAAGGCGTCTCAGCACCCAAAGCCCCTTCCCTTCCAGAGGCTGGAGCTCGTCACCACCCAGGTGCACCCAGACCCCCCCATCCCCGCCACAATCCTGCGTCGGAACACAATGGGAGGACGTGGCACTTCCTCACCTTTTCCCCCCCATTTCAGGCACAGCAGCTTGGATGGAGACCAGGACACGGGCACGGCGCTGGGAATGACACCACATCCTCCAAGCGGAGCCGGCGCCTCCCTTTGCAGTGACTCCATGTGCGAAGCTTGCAGTGGATGGATGATGCTGTCCCGAGCCATAAACGTTGTGCAAACACTGAGCAGCTTTGTACTGAGCGGGTTCTTTCCTCTTCCCTCTCATTCCGTTGTAAACGTGAATTCCTGCCAAGGAAACTGGTGCCTGGGCTCTCCACCGCCACGCTCCAGGAAAGCGGGAGGAATCCAGCCCCGAGCTGGGCTCCTCTGCTCCAATTCCTATCCCAGTTATCCCGGGAAACCTCAGCACCTCAGGGGCATCCCATCCTCCCAGGCCACTGCGTTAAATGGGGCTGGTTTGGGACAAATCCCCCTCGCTGGCAACCACCCATCACGGGGTTCACGGTGGTGGCATCCCCAGGATCGTGGTCTCCACGCTTGCTCTTTACATAGAAAGCCCGGCAATGTCTGTGGTGCAAGGAGCTGGACAAGCTCCTCCGGCTCCTCCAGCTCCCTATGGAGAACAAGCTGCCAGGAACGGGGTGTTTTGGTCGGGAAGGATGGGTTTGGAAAGCTCCTCCTCTTGGCACAGCTCTGGGGGGATGCAATCCGTGTCCCTGCTGCTTTGCTTTGGAAGCGTTATGGGGAAGGAGGGGCAGCAAACCCGACCCAGGGCAGAGCTCACGGAGGTCGCACCTACCCCGGGTGGAAAAGCCGCGGTCTGATGGGGCAGGAGCATCCCAAGCCCGCCCATCTCCGCCGCACAGGGCAGCGGGGTCCCGCCGCCCCTCGCTCCCCTCTGGGGTTATCCCATCGGTTTTCCCGGGAAGCCGAGAGGCTCCGAAACAGCGCCCGGAGCTCCCGAGACGCGAACGTGCCGCCAAGCAGTGCCACCTCCCGGCCCCGCGCTGCTATGGGAGGGGAGCACGAACCCCAGAGGGATTTGGCTTGAAGGGACCTAAAAGCTCATCCAGTTCCAGCCCCTGCCATGGGGATGCTGGGAGGGCTGGAGCAGCTCCCATAGGAGCCAGGCTGAGAGAGCTGGGCTGGGGCAGCCTGGAGAAGAGAAGGCTCCTGAAGGGGAGACCTGAGAGCAGCTCCAGTGCCTGAAGGGGCTGCGGGAAACCTGGAGAGGGGCTTGGGACAAGGGATGCAGGGACAGGGCAAGGGGAATGGCTTGAACCTGCCCGAGGGGAGACTGAGCTGAGCTCTGAGGCAGAAGCTCTTCCCTGTGAGGGTGCTGGGACGCATGGCAGGGTTTGGAGTCCTGCACATGATACCAGGAGAGAGCAAAGGCACTCGTGCAAGTGGCAATAACTGAGAGCTGAAGTCATCCTTTCACTGCTTTCCCTTTGGAAAGGCGGGTCTGTGCTTCACACCCAGGCTCCTCTGCAGCCCTAGAGCCGGGAGCTCTTCCCAAGCATCCTCCTTCCCAAGCTCCTTTCCCTGCCCTATCCCTTTCCCCGCCTTGGTGCAATGCCCAGCCCTGGGCTCTGCCAGCGCCGCCCAGTTCTCCCAGCAAACCGCTGCTGGATAAGCTCCTTTAACACAAAGAGGATTTCCCTCCGCGTTCGAAGCCCTCTCCTGGTCATCGCCAGGCACGAAGCAAGCAGAGGCTCTCTCAAGCAGCACCGTACCAAGCTCTGTGACAGCCACTGGTGTTGCCTGCCTGGACCTGTGCGAGGCATCTGGCACTGGCCCACACAGCATCCTCATCTCTAGACCGGAGAGGCACGGATCTGACATGGAGCACCCGGTGGATAAGGAATTGGCTGGGTTCACTCAGAGTTGTGGTCAATGGCTTGATGGCCAAGTGAAGACCAGTGAGGAGCAGTGTCCTTCAGAATCAGTGTTGGGACCGATCCTGTTCAAGAGCTCTGTCAGTGACATGGACACTGGGATCGGGTCCATCATGCCACACACACTGGATGGGATCCAGAGGGGCCTGGAGAGGTGGGACCATGAGAACCTCATAGGGTTCAATGAGGCCAAGTGCAAGGTCCTGCCACTGGGCTGGGGCAACCCCAGCACAGACACAGCTAGGGGGAGATGGGATGGAGCAGCCCTGAGAAGGACTCAGCTCTGGAGCCAGGCTGAGAGAGCTGGGCTGGGGCAGCCTGGAGAAGAGAAGGCTCCTGAAGGGGAGACCTTAGAGCAGCTCCAGTGCCTAAAGGGGCTGCAGGGAACCTGGAGAGGGGCTTGGGACAAGGGATGCAGGGACAGGGCAAGGGGAATGGCTTGAACCTGCCCGAGGGGAGACTGAGCTGAGCTCTGAGGCAGAAGCTCTTCCCTGTGCCACTCTTTCCCTATTTAAAGCTTCAGTGCTGGAAGATGCCGATCTCCAGCAGGGCTGTGCCCATGATCCACAAACATTCCAGGAGCACTTTGCCAGGCTGGAAGCGTTGGTCCCTCCTCGTCAGGCAATTCCAAATATTTGTATGTTGATTCTTTCAGCTTTCAGACACAAAGAGCTGGAGCTATTTGGCAGCAAGGAAAAAAACCCACATGGGAATCTCTGCTCCTTTTCCCTTTGTGTAAACTCAACGGAGAAGATATTTCCTGTTTTAGGAGCAAACAGTGAGAGTTCAGCCATTCCCTTTCCCCGGTTACTCGAGAAGGGGTTAAAAATGGGCTCAGAAAGACTGAATCTTGCCAATTTGGTGCCACATTTGGTGCTGAAGTTGTTTTCTTCTTAGGGGGTCTCGACTGTAAAATCGATGCCACTTGAGCACTGCCAGGGATGGGGCAGCCACAGCTTCTCTGGGCACCCTGTGCCAGCGCCTCAGCACCCTCACAGGGAAGAGCTTCTGCCTCAGAGCTCAGCTCAGTCTCCCCTCGGGCAGGTTCAAGCCATTCCCCTTGCCCTGTCCCTGCATCCCTTGCCCCAAGCCCCTCTCCAGGTTTCCTGTAGCCCCTTTAGGAGCTGCTCTGAGGTCTCCTACCCCCGTGTACGCCCCCCCCAACCCCCGTGTAACCGGTCCCGCCACTTCCCCCCCGCCCGGCGCGTGACGTCACCGTCACCGCCGCCGCCGCCACCACCACGTGCAAAACGCGCGCGCTTCCCGGCGCGCCTCTCTCTCTCCCGCGCGCGCGCGCGCGCCCTGCTGACGGCGCCGAAGCCCCGCCCCGCGCCTTTCACGAGCGCCGCGCCGCCGGACGGGCAGGGCCGCCAGCCAATCGGGTGCCGCCCCCAGCGAAACGACACAGCCAATGAGAGCGGCGGGATGGCGGAGGAAGCCCCGCCCCGGGGCGGGGCCTTGCCGGCGGCAGGGGGCGCCATGCGCCATGTCATGGAGGCTCAGTGCGCCGGCGGCCATTGAGGCGCTCGGAGCGGCGGCCGGAGCGCGGCGTCCCCCGGCTTCCCCCTGCCCGGCCCCGGTGCTCCCGTCCCGGCTCCCGGCGCTCCCCCCGCGGCGGCGGCGTTGACCTCGCGGCCGGAGCCCCCGCCGCGCCCCGCCGCCCTTCCCTCGCTACCGCAGCGCCGCGGGATGGGGGGGGCCATGGAGATGAAGAAGCGCATCAACCTGGAGCTGCGGAACCGGGCCCCGGAGAAGGTGAGCGGCGGCGGGCGCGCTGCGGGCCCGCGCCTCACCCACCACCACTGCCACCGCCGCCTTCCGCCGTGCGGGCCCTGCCCGGCGCCGAATCTGGGTCAGCCGTGGCGCAGGAGCCCCGCGGGGCGCGGGCGGCGCTTCCGGGCAGCGGCCCCGGGGCGGCGGGGACCCGGCAGCCGCGTCCCTCGGCCCGGCCGAGCCCCGCGAAGTTTGGCCCCGAAGCGGGGGGCACCGAGGGATGGGGATGGGGGGGGGGGGCGCGGGCCGGCCCCCAAGTTCCGCCCGCCCGTAATTCCCTGCCTGGTGCAAGTTGGGAGCGCGGCCGCGGTAAACAGGTCACGGCCCTTCCCTCGGCCGCCGCGCGCACTCGGTGCAGTTTATGCTGCTTCCTTCCCCGCAAGCCGCCTCCCCGCTGAGCGCTGCGTGGCGCGGCCGGCTCCGTCCCGCTCCTCCCGGCCGCCGCCCCGCGGGGTACAACCGGGGGGTACCCCCCCAATCCCCCCCCTTCCCGTCCTTCCCTCGCCTCCAACTTCCCGTTTCCTGCGGGAAATCGGTGTGGAAACGCGGGAGCTCGCAGGGCCCCGCACATGGGGGGGTTGCAGCGTGGCCGGTGAGGAGAAAGCAGCGCCCGGTTCGCCCCGGGAGTAAAGTCCGGATGCGTCGCATTCGCCGCGTGGGGTTTTGGGGGGGCAAAGAGTGTCCGAAAGTGCTGCTTGCGGGCAGGTTTATGGGCGGCGGGGCCGTGCGGAGGCTGCCATGTGCTGTGCGGGCGTGTGGAGCCCTCTCCCCTCCCTGCCTGCAACTTTGTGCGTGTCTGGAGCAACGCTGCTGTGATCGGGAAAGGGAACGAACCGCGAGCGAGAGTTGCGCTGGAGCTGGCAGCGTGCGCCCCGCGGAGGCTTCCGCAGCCTTGGGATGCTGGTGGTTGAGGGGAAGGGAAGAGTCACCTTGTTCCTGCCCTTCCTGAGGAGTGCGGCGTGCCCTGTACGGGATAGAGTTGGAAGGGAATCCCGGCTCCTTGTGGGTGACCCGCGTTGAGGGGCTTTGGCACCAGGGGATGGGTGAGCTGGGTTTAACGAACCCCAGAGCTCCGTGATGCGGAGCCAGGTTTTGGGTTGGGAGAGGACTCGGATGGGTTTGTAGGTTTAATTCGGGTAGTTAAATGAAAAGAGTTTAGAAGCAGTTCCACTGCATGCAGGGGACCCCCAGGCACTATCAGAAGCTATACAAGTGATTTCCTCCATTGATTTTTGAGGTTAGATGGTGGGGTTTGGAGCATTTGCACCCCCCAGGCCATGGCTGTGTTATCAGAAGCTAAACAGGTGTTTTTTCCCATGTATTTTGGGGTTAGATGATGGGGTTTGGAGCATTTGCAGCATCCTCCCAGGAAGGGAGACTTGGGTTTTGTACCTAGGTGGGTGTTGGTGATTCTGGAGCATGAGTCTAGTCTAAATTTAAACCCAGCATCAAACTGATGGATCTTCAGCAGTCCCGAGTCGTGGTTTAGATGAAGCCTGTGGGGTTTTTGCTGCTCATTGAGCTGATGCATATTGCTGTCCTGTTGGAAGGTGACGGAGTTGGTGCTCGATAACTGCAGATCCAGCAACGGGGAAATCGAAGGCCTGAATGATTCCTTCAAAGAACTGGAGTTCCTGAGCATGGCCAACGTGGAGCTGACGTCGCTGGCCAAGCTGCCCACATTGAGTAAGCTCCGGAAGGTACGTACCTTGTGGAGGTGATGGCAAGAGCCTTGTGAGGTGAGGCTGTGAAGATCTCAAGTGGTTCTGGGTATCTCCAATTGGTTATGGCCAAACTGGGCTTGGTCAAGGACTCTTGGTGCCCATCTTATTGGCTGGCCACGTGCTGCTGAGCTCTGTGGGTTGGTTGAGGCACTTGGATTGCCTGGCTGGTGGCAGAACAAAGGCTCACAGGGAATTAACTCCATGTTCTACTAACCTAAAATTGAGGTTTCCAAACCCAGGGGGTTTCTCATTCTCAAAGTAGGCTTCAAGGATGCCATTTGGCAGCCAGAGAGAGCTTGTGAACGTGCGTAGGACTCTTCAAAAGCCATCAGCGTGGTGATGAAACTGTTCAGTTAAAGGGAGGACGATGAAAAATGACATGGTCTGAACCTAATAGTTAAGAACCCGACCATTTAATGACTCCATTTGTTCTGTGTAACAGTTGGAGTTGAGCGACAACGTCATTTCAGGAGGCCTGGAGGTCCTTGCAGAAAGGTGTCCGAATCTCACATATCTAAACCTAAGTGGCAACAAAATCAAAGATCTTGGCACTGTGGAAGCTCTTGTAAGTATGAAGTGAGAGGAAAACACAATAAATATGGGGGGGGCTATCAGGAATACGTCCCGTTTTAGTTCTTGCCAGCTCAGGTGGAAGAGGCGTTGGGGTGGGCTGGGTTTGGTGTTCTGGTTGGTCCTGACTCAGTTAACTCCCCGACACGGCTGTAGGAGACAGTAACCATACAGTTCCTTCTGCATTAACAATGGGATGTCCCAAACTGGAGGTTTTTGAGCTGCTGGGGTTTTTTTGGGATGGAAAGCACCCAAGTTATGTCTTGCTGATCCTCCTGTATTCCTTAAGGTGTAGGCTGGCTCATAAGCATAAGTGCATAAGGTCTGGGAGGTGACACGAATCCCCATCAGCTTGTTCAGAAAGCAGATTCCACAGTGTAGTTCCAAGTTGTGCCAAGTCCCTCTTGCTCCTTACAGTGACTCAGCCAAAGGGTTTACAAGAGAGTTCAGTTTTGCCCTTGATTGCCTGAGCAAAAACCAGCTGCACGAACCAAAACCAGCCCTAAAGATGTGTTCTGAGGTGTGGTGCTGGAGGGATGTGCTGGGGGTGCTACAGGCAGGCCCTGGAGGCCACCTCCAGAAGCACTTCCCCTGCAAACAGCCTCTTGAACTGAGTTTGTATTTAACAGGCAGCAAAACAGTGGCGAGGGAGGGGCTGGGGACAGTGAACTCCAGCTGGGCTGTGGCTGTGCTGTCACTTGAAGCACCGTGTGGTTGTCCCAAGAAGAAAGGGGGGCAAAAAGAAACCCTTTTTTTGTTTGTTTTCAGCAAAACCTGAAGAACTTGAAGAGCCTTGACCTGTTCAACTGTGAGATCACAAACCTCGAGGACTACAGAGACAGCATCTTCGAGCTGCTTCAGCAGATCACATACCTGGATGGGTTTGATCAGGAAGACAACGAGGCCCCGGACTCGGAGGATGATGATGATGAGGGTAACTCCCCAAAATATAGCATGCCCAGAAGCAGTGTGCTGTGCTGGAGGTGTCAATGTGAATGCAGCCTGGGGTGGAGCAGCTTCTTGCAGCCGCTAGCACAATGCTGCACTCTTATCTTTGAAGCCCAGGCTTCTAGACCTTAGTTGGTGCTAACGCATGGATGAAGGAGAGCTCCTGCCAGAGGGTTTGGGTGCCTCTGTAGGAGCCTTCTGAGGTTAAAGAAGAGATCCTGTTAGATAAAATAGCCTCAAAACCACAGAGTTCCAGACTTGGGTGGAAGGGACCCTAAAGCTCATCTAGCTCCAGCCCCTTCCACTGGAGCAGGATGCTCCAAGCCCCTGTGTCCAACCTGGCCTTGAGCACTGCCAGGGATGGGGCAGCCACAGCTTCTCTGGGCACCCTGTGCCAGCGCCTCAGCACCCTCACAGGGAAGAGCTTCTGCCTAAGAGCTCAGCTCAGTCTCCCCTCGGGCAGGTTCAAGCCATTCCCCTTGGCCTGTCCCTACAGGCCCATGTCCCAAGCCCCTCTCCAGGTTTCCTGCAGCCCCTTTAGGCACTGGAGCTGCTCTAAGGTCTCCCCTTCAGGAGCCTTCTCTTCTCCAGGCTGCCCCAGCACAGCTTTCTCAGCCTGGCTTCTGTATGAAAAATGCTCATTTTACTGGCTTTTGTAACAGCTTCACTGCTGTGCTCAAGTGTTATCCCATTTTTTCTATTCAAACATGTACATAGTGCTTTTGATCTGATCCCTGGAGTCCTGACAGAGGCTGTTCCTCCTTTTTTCCTGTTGTTACCCAACTGTAAATGAAACCTGTAGGTACAGGTCTGTCAGTGTGTGGCTATAGACTTCTTTAAGTGTGTCATAGCAGCCTCTGACTGAGCCTTCTCAGTGTCTGAGCCTTAAATGGTGACCTGGGAGCTGCCGCTGCTGCACCCTGGCTCCAAGGGGCTGCTGCGAGCACTCGGCCACCTCCGCATTTGGGAGCCTGTGTTAAAAAGAGCTCCAGGAAAGCCAGAGGGTTGGTAGCTGCAATGTGAAATCCTTGTGGTGTGTGAAAACAGAGGCATAGGTTATGAACTTGAAGTGTTAAATCATCTTGGCATTTGCTTAACTGAAACACTGCAAGTGATTCTGTGCTCCAGACAGAGGAACGGGATGAGCTGAGGGAGCAGCTCCTCGGGCCCGGAGGTGTTTCAGCGTTACGAGTAAGGGGTTACATAAAACACACGGAATGTGTTCAGCTGGTTTTGCCTTTAAATATTTTGGGGTTTGATGCTGTCGGAAGCCTCCCCTCCACTGACCACATTTTCGGCTCTCTTGCAGGAGTTTGCATATGGAGCTGCTTCAGGCATCAGGAATTTTGCCTGCAGCTCCTGATGTAAAACCATTGGGATCCTTTCTTGAGGGAAAAGACTGATAAAGATTAACTTGATGAAAATCAGGCTTGTTTCCCACAAGGAAACCCAAATCCTTCTGGGAGAAAAAGGGTTCAACTGGTTGGAGCTGGTGTACACAACCCAACGTAAGGTGGGGTTAATGAAACTTCACCTGCAGCATATGTGTGTCCTTCATTTCAGACGGAGATGAGGATGATGATGACGAAGGTGAGGATGAAGCTGGGCCTCCAGGAGAATATGAAGAGGAGGATGATGAAGATGATGGAGGCTCCGATCTGGGGGAGGGTGAAGAGGAAGAGGAAGTTGGTCTTTCATACCTGATGAAAGAAGAGATTCAGGTAAGGGTTGTAAGTTCTACCAGCTCCAAGAAACAAAAGAGAAGCTGCTGCAGGCTTCTGAGGTTACTCAGAGGTGTAGACTCAGCAGAGGAAGACTAGGTAGTAGCAACAAGTTAGCAGTACTTCAAGTAGAATGAAATGAAGGAAAAGTCTGTGTGGGTTTTGCTGCAATAAATAGGGCTTTTACCTTGCACTCACATGGAAATGTTCTTGGTGGTGGTGTGAAGAGCTGGGGAAAACAGCCCATGGGATCTTTTCAGGTCCTAAACCCCCTGTGGCAGTGACTTCATTGCAGTTCGTTTTGATAGGAGTTTACTCTGTCAGTTGCATTTCACAGGGATGCGCTGGAAATCTGGTGCTAAACTCCTTTGGCTTAAAACTCTGCCTTGTAAGCAGCACTGGTGGCTGGAACTTCAGTTCTGTCTTGCTCTGCAGAGGTAACAACCGTGGCACAGGTCAGGAAGCTAACACTAACGAAACCTGCTCCAAAAGCAGGAGCTGAGAGGTGGGTTTTGGAGCAGTATGTGACCAGGAGGAAGCTCAGGAATGAGTTTTTCCTGGGCACTGGTACAGGAATATGTTATGTGAAATTTGGAGAATTCTGTCCTGGAAGGTTTTCCCTGTACTTTCAGAAATGAGGCAATGAATGAATGAAAAGGCACTGAATGAATCCAGAGGGGGTTTAATTCCCATGGTCTAAGGGCAGATGTTGGATGGGCTTTCTGATGCTTCCACGTTTTTATTCCTTACATTACCCTGTGCCTGCAGTACAGTGCCTCTAAAGGCAAAAGCTCCGGGTGGCTTCCAGGCCTGTCTGGGGCAGCAGGGCAGGGATCCTGTGCCATTGTTTTATGTTCTGGGGCTGCTGTTTGCATTTCTCAGTTATCAGCTTTGGAGAGGAAGAAGGCCAACCCCCAACAACCCTATTCCCAGTAATTCCCAGTAAGAAACTGTTCTGCCTCCTCTTCCTCCTCCTTTACTGACAGTGGGTTAAAAGGCTGTTTGTATTGACTGCTTGCAAGAGGTTGCTCTTGACCTGGCCTGAGGCAGCGATAAGGGAGAAAAACAAAGGAATAGGGGGTGATGAGAAGCACTGGAGTCAGTTTGTTCCTTGTCCTTGTGCAGATGGCCAGCACCAAAACAGTAAAGGTGGAATGTGACCTCTGGATGCAGTGGGATTTCCTGGATTTCTGCTCTGGATCAGGGAGCAGAAATTTGGATGGGGCTCAGAGCAATGGGGTCTGGTGGAAGGTGGTTGGAATTGGAAGGGGTTTAAGGTCCTTTCCAGCCCAAACCATTCCAGGATTCCATGATCAGTGCAGAAGCCAAACTTGCAACAAAAATCCTAACAGTATTTCCCAATTGTTGTGAAGGATGAAGATGATGATGATGACTACGTTGAAGAAGGAGGTGATGAGGAGGAGGAAGGTAAGTGCTCAACTTGTGACTGGATCAGTTCTTTATAGTCCTGGAGCTTTGCAAGGTTGGGATGTGCGCTTCAGTGGCATCAATCCCTCTTTGCTTGTTCTGGATGTGTGGGGAGTATTTTAGGACTGGTTTAAGCAAGAGCTCGCCCGTCCTCTGAGGATTCCCAGTCTCATGGGTGCTGTTCTGCAGTGCTGGAGCAGTGATTGCTCCACAGGCAGAGGCTCATTCCTGTGCCCACAGTACCCTGAATTGTGGGGGGCACCTTAGTTGTACCCATCTCTGTGCTCTGATAAGATTAAGACACCAGGTGAGAGTCCCCTGCTGTTACCAGAGGGTAAAACCTTTAAGGAAGTTTAATCTTAAACCAGCCTTTCCTTGTACTTTTCTTGCTAAAAGGCTCTCCCAGAACTTCCCTTTTCTAATGGTTAGGAATTCTGTCCTGATCTCTAAGAGAGTTTTGTGCTAATCCTGAAGCCTGCTTCCATCTCAGTGCAAACTGTAGGTGACTTCTAGCCCTCCCCAGCCCAGTGCCCATCTCGTCTGTGCACTTGATTCAGCTGAACCACTTCTAGGGATGGAAAAAGCTGACATTTGGAAATAATGCTTTTCCTTTTTCCAAATGCAGCCTTTCAGTCTCTTTAAGAGCATGAAGCAGGAGGGCAGGATGGCTGCTGAGCCAGGAAATGACTGCTCTGGATGTGACAGCTCTGCATTTTGCGCTTTCACCACAAGAGCGCACAGTCCACTGAGCAGTTTAAGGCTGTTCCTAAGAACAGGCTCAATAGATGTTTCTGGGAGGTGCTGGTATTGGTTTGTATTGGAGAGAGGCTGGAGCAGGTTGCATTTGGGATCAGCAGGAACTGCTGGGGCTTGGGCAGGGATTAGGCACCTGCTGCAAACTGAAGGTAAGGAGGTAGGGAAACATCATTTTAGGTCTCTAATATATGTTAACAGAACAATTCTTTACATATATATATATATATATAGACTTCATATCAATAATTCCTGTATGGAACAGCCCAGGCTTAGCTTGAACTTAATTTAACTCAGCCTGTATGAATGAATTTGCTTAAACTGCTCTTTGCTGGGGTGCTGTCGCAGGGGTGAGTGCATTAACTACCAACAAAGAGGGATGGGTTTCAATTCCCTCTTCAAAAAGGGCAAAGGTCCCTTTCGGAGCATAACAAGATGTGTGCATCCCTCTTTCCTTAGCAGAGGGTGTGCGAGGGGAGAAGAGGAAACGAGATCCTGAAGATGAAGGCGAGGAAGAGGAGGATTAACTTGTTCTAGACACCAGTAGGACCAGCCTCTTCGGTTCCAGAACACGCAATAGTGATTATGCAGATCTGTATGTCTCCATGTACCATAGATGTCCCTCCAGAAGATAATACGTTAACTTTTTATAGGAGAAGTGTGGTTTTACTATTCTTGCCCTTTTTATCATTCCAAATAAGATATAATAGCCTGGTAGTGAACCTGTACGTAGAAAACAATTTTCAGCCCTATAATCACTGAAGCCATTGTCAAGTTTCCCCCCCCCCCCCAACTTTTCTTTGGAGCTCTTTGGTTTCTACAAGCTTGCTGTGTTGGTCATCATTAGCCCAGACGAAAACACCCATTTCACATGGGTTTAACCTAGTGTGGTTTTCCTCCTTGAAAGTTTTTATACTGAAGAAGCTAAAACTCAAACCCACTTACTGCAGCCTCTTTTAAATGAGGAGCTGAGTGCAGCCTCATTTTCCCAGGGATTCTGTTTGAAGTAGACAACTGGATTACACCTTTAGTTCAGCTTTTTAAAAGGGGACTCCTGGAACAGGCTTTGAAGTCTTCTGTCCATTTTGTGTATTATATTCTAAAGCCTAAGTGGGTTTCAGAAGATTGTGTTTGCTGGACTATCCAACCTTCAAGAGCAAACAAAGGGTTGTAATCCATCCATTTGCTCCAGAAGAGCCATTGCAGGTATTAACAATCTGGAGTGTGGAACCATTTCACTAGAAGCCTGTGTTAAACTTTCCCTCACTTCGCTCTTGCATTGTCATTTTGGGAATTCTGCAACAGTATTTGGCTATCAAATAGATGCATTTCTCATGCAGATGTTAACGGGTAACCCCTCGGAGCGCATTTTCTTGAAGCATCCCCCCCTTTTATAGAGTCATTGAAGGGGGAAAGATGGACAGGAGGTAGTCTTTCTTCCCAGGTCACCTTTGAAACCTTTTACATCTGGTTGTAGGTAAACCATTCGAGTCCATGTATAATACTAGTTCATAGTTTAGGGTTTTTTACCTTGAAGGGCTGCAGAAAGCTGGGTGGTTGCACGCAGTCGGTGGTGAGTACAGGAGACATGCAGACAAGGGGTGTTTCTTCTCTAGCAGCCTGACTGCAACCACCAGGTCTGACTAATTCTGTCCTCACTCTGTGACAAGCCCGAGATTGATGTTTTTCTATTCGAGCCACCACCCAAGTTCAGCTATGACGGCATTCCTCTTGCAGTTGGGATTTGGATTGAAACCAGTAGGCTTGAGATGAAACTAATTCCCATTGTTCCACGTAGGTACTGAACCAAATATCACACACAGCTTTATTCAAGAGACTTATTTTTGTATCTGTCTTGGCCGACAGCAGCTGCCGTTAACCTGGGGGAGACACAAGGGTGGGGAAGAGGGAGATTCCCCGGAGCTAATTCAGTCCCTCACCCGTAGGTCACCTGTGAGTATTTTAAGAGGTATTTTACACACTTCCAACTCTTCAATCAAGTCTAGATCCTGCAGGGTTGAAGTTCTGCAAAGCCCTGTTTCTTGTGTGCGTGGTTCCCCCCCCCCTCCAGATAGAGCCTTAAGTCCTAGTTCCTTGTGTAGCTGTTGAAGGCAGCATCCGAGCGGAGCGAGTTGAGTGGAAGCGAAGTGAACTTGCTGGGGTTTGCAGTTCGGGTAAAGGCACTAGCGCTAAAGCGACGTTTGCAACCACAACCTGCAGTTCCCGTGTTTGTGTGTGAATCCTGACCGAATAGAACCCGTAGGTAAGTGCACATCCTATCTTCTTGTGGAGGCTCTGTGTTCAAGGCAGTTGCTTCGTGCTCAGCTTTGGGATAGAAACGTGTTTTCCCATCTTTTTTTTTGCTTATGGTTTTTTTCTTGTTGAAGTCTCAGTGAATGATTGAAATCTGTTATTTATAAGGGTGTACTTCAGAGTACCTCGCTGTCAGGGTTCTCCTTAACTGTCTTACTGATGCATAGCAAACTAGTTTTAAATGGGGGGAAAGAAGTCTGTTTTGATGGCTTGACAGTATTTGAACACTGGTCTGTGGGTCCAGTTCTGAGGTTGGATGAGCTCATAAAGCAGCGAAACTCAGCCCTTCCCTGAGCTAAGGCAGACTCCCCCCTTCCTAACCCTGGCGCGCATCAGGCACCACGTCCGAAGAGCCTCTCCTCGCACAGGACTCGTCTTTCCCTCGGCGTTCCCATGGGAGCCTTTCCCGCTCCTCAGCTTGGCATGCAGCGGAAGCAGCGTTTTCTAGAACTGAAGCAATGCAGAGCCTCCAGATTTAACTTTGGAAACTTTTTTGCTTGGTGGGTGGTCTTTTCATGCAAATATGTAAGGGTGGGTTTTATATTTTGTAGAGGTTTTTGTCCTATTTTAATGCTCTTTGTATGGCAGTATGTATATAGTGTGGTTCGGTTCCTGATTCCACTTCTTTCCTGACAACCTTTGGAGTAACTGATTTTGTGCAACTGTGTTTTGAATAAAGCCATGCCAGTGTTAAAGAGAAAAATCCAACCCTGCAGCACTCTTCTGAGAGTTTAGTTGTAACAAAACCACGTTCCCCCCCCCTTCCCCTGTGTGCTGTAAATTTTAAATTAAAACGTTTTCAAACCGAATTATTTCAAATAAATCCCGGCTCTTGTATTGGATTCCTTCTTCTATGGAGAATGTGGTGCTCGGAAGGAGTGGAGAGAGGTTCCTTGCTGTTACCTCTGCGTTAGTGGGGAACCGGTGGCATCGTCCCCACTGGGGCTTGGTGCTTGCGGTGCTTTCGGCTCGGTGGTGTGTGTGCCGCTCTGCACTGCAGCCAGCCCCAGCACTGGTTTCAGGGTGAGCTTGTTCCAGCATTCCTGGCAAACTCCCTCTTGGAAGCACTTGAGGAAGCTGGTGACAGAACAGGCTTTTCTGCTGGGTGCGGAGCTCAGGAGTTGGGGCTGGTTTCTTGGGGTTTGGGAGCAATCACCTTTCCCTCTAAGCTCTGTTCAATCCCCTTTTGCTCATGGGACCGAACGGGAGCTCCGAGCCCTGTTTTGGGGGGCCGGGGTTGGGTTTGTGTTAAACGGAGGCGGTGGCGCCCCGGAACCGGCATGGCCCAGGCCCTCAGAGGGACGGCAGCGCCGCCCACAGGACGGACACCCGGGGGCCAGAGCCGTCCCAACCGCCCTGCCCTGCTCTCAACCCGCATCCGCCGCCGCCCCGGAGCCCAGCGGCGTCTGCAGCCGGGGACGGGGCCTGGCAGCACCTGGGGGCTGAGGCCCCGCCGGCCTCCATTTTGTCGCAGGGAGGGGAAGCGGCGCTGTGGGGCGGCCATGCGGCTCCTCCTCCTTCTCCTCCTCCGGCCGGACCCTTTGCCCTGCCGCCCCTTGCCCCCCTCCCCAGCCCTCAGCGCCCGCTCCGCGCCCCGGCCTCTGCCCGCCCCTTCCTTCCTCAGGGAACGGGGAAGGGGGGGACGCGGCCGCCTCATGGGGCGCCTCCGAGCGCGGGAAGCCGCCAGCCACGGGGGCTCCCGGCTCCGGGCAGCAGGGGCCGGGGCTCTGATTGGCTGAGATTTGCCGCAGTTCCCGCCCCTCCGGCCGAGGCCCCGCCCCTCTGCCCGGCCGCTCCGCAGCGCCCCCTCCGGCCGCGGCGGGAAGGGAGGGATGCTCCCGCTGAGCGCCCCATTCCCGTTCCCATTCCCATCCCCGTTCCCGTTCCCAGCCCCCATTCTGCCCCGCCGCAGGGGGGTTCCTATGGGTCTGTGTGAGTTTGTACCGGTGAAAACCAGCTCCGAGTCCAAACTGAGCAGACAAGTAGAGGAAAAGTGCAAACCCTCATCCCAAAGGCTGGGTTTTGGGTGTTTTCCCACCGTGACCCATTGGAAAGGGTGAGTTTAGCTGCACTCTGCTGCAGTTAGTGTGGAAACATGAAGGAATTCTTCCCCTGGTAAAAACACGTGCAGCGGAGCTCCAGTGTCTGCTCAGCAAATGTGGCCTTTCCCGAGGGAAACCCTTTCTTATTCCAATGGGAAGCCAGACAAACGTCCCCTTTTCTCACCTTCCTCCCTATTGCCGCACATCAGGTTAATGTGATGTAGCCCCGGGAGGTACCAGGGTGAAGGGGAGCTATGGGGACAGGGCTCTGAACGTGTCCTAGTGCCTGTGAGACTTAACTCGAAGGGTTTCCCTTGGTCTGTAAGTGACAGAGCCCTCCCTTGCCATTCCCGTGCGTTCTGAGGGGCTGAGTTCACCTCTTTTACCCCCCCAAAGTGAAGTCAGTTGTTAAAACCCTGCTGTTGAGGATGTAAAACCACGAGAGCCTCTTTCAGGGAGTTCCCTCATCCGTGTTTGGATGTGGGAAGGGAGAAGCTGATGTTCCCATGCAATCACAAGTGCAGGAATTCGGGCTTGGGGAGAAGTGTGAAATGCCATGAGCTCTACAATGAAGTCATGGGGGTTCTCAGAGTGAGAGCTGCCTCATCCGACAGTGAACAGTGGTGGTTTGGGCAGTGGGAATAAAGCACACATTGGTTTCACTCATCCTCAACATCACAAATGGCTGGGGCAAGGGAAGAGGTATAAAATAACTCTGAAATGAGCTTAATTTCAGGCTTCTGGGGCTCTTGGGGTTGCTTGAAGGCTGTCTCAGACCAAGAGTGCACCCTCACCCCCCCTGTGGTGTGCTCTTGGGAGGCTTCTTACTTGAGTTACAGCTTCATCCTGTGGGGAATGTCTGGGTTTTCGGCCTTAGAACAGGAGTTCGTGCTAAGCTTCAGTTTCTGCTCTGAGTGCGCCCATTTCAAAGCAAGAAAGCAAAAGGACTGGGAATGCTCGAGGAAACCCTTGCCTTGTGCTTCTGGTTTGGCTGCCAAAGCTGAGGGAGAAGCCGAAAATAAAGGCATGGCCACCACAAGAAACCAAAGCAAACCACAGGCTCCATAAGATCTGGGAACTCTTGGCATGGAGGCAAAGGATTCTAAGAACAAAGATGAGCATAGACTTCATGTTTGGGGTTGCGTTGGGGAAAAGAAGTCATTTTCCTATATTAATGGTAAGAGGCTGTGTTTGATGTGCATTGCCTTCTAAAGGAAAGCTGATTTAGGGAGAATAATCCAGCTGGATCAGGCTGCAGGAGGTGAAGGTTGGTTGGTTGACACCAAGAGGCAG